TTTCCTGACCCCCTGCGGACCGAGGCAACTGCCCAGGCAGGGGTATCGACTGGGCTCGTTAAGGTGGGGCCAATTTAACCCAGATTCAACGGCGAAGACGTACGTGCTCACACAGGGGAACCGGAGAGACAGACGGTTTGATGTGGGCTTTGCATCCGATGGTGGCTTTCCCCCATTTGGGGGAGCCTTGAAAGCACTGGCCGGGGCATGGGTGATGGGTCGTTCCAAGGCGTGCCTCCCCGGATGAGGGACTTGAGTTGGCTCACCGCCTGGAAGTGGTGGAGCGGGACAGGTGCCAGCTAAGATGGGAACTTGAGGAAGTAATCCAGGCGATCCCAGAGATGGTGCTGTGAGCCCTAAGGGCTGAGAGAGAGGTGCAACAGCCAGCTCCTGCTCTTCCCCCCCCAACAGGCACCCCTGGAACTGGCACCCCAAGGACCGGGCCTGCTGGGCCCGCCAGACATGCCAGTGCCAGGGCCAGCAGAGGGGCCGGCCCCTGTGCCGTGGCCAGGCAGCCCAAGAGGTCCCCTGCACCACCGCCCGAAGGACCTGATCGAGGTAACGTTCGATGGGGACCCAGAGGAACTGTCCTATTTTGTGGTTCGAGTGATGAAATTCGTGGAAAGGTGGGGCCACCTGTTCCCGGACGACAGCAGCTGAGTGGATGTTATTGCTGCCCAGTTACGAGGAGCTGCCGCGGCGTGGTATGTGGGACTACACAACGCAAGGGGCCCGGAGCTACTGAGCCTGGATGCTTTTATGTGGGTGTTGCGTGCCCAGTTTGAGGATCAGAATGCCGGGCCCAAAGCAAGGGCATTCTTACGCACCCTGAAGCAAGGGAAGCGGTCAGTGAGAGAATACTCGTCGGAGTTTAAATTGCATGCGGCCAAGTTCCAAAACTGGCCGGATCAGGTCTTAGCGGAGTTGTACTGGGTGGGGCTGAACCCAGAGATCCACGAAACGGTCCTGCGTGCAGTGGACCCGATTTCCCTCCCAGTGTGGATGCAAGAAGCGGAGAGTGCAGAGACTTGCTTGAACACCCTACGCCTGGACATCGCCGCGGCGGCAGGAAAACTGGAAAAAAAAAACCAACTGAAAGTGAAATCTGCACGCCCGGCTGAGTCTACCAGAGAGCAACGGATGAGACAAGGGCTCTGCCTATAGTGTGGGGAACAAAGCCATTTCGTGGCCGACTGCAGGGGATCGAGTCCGGGGAAGCCGGCGCAATTGGAACCACCCAAGGCACGGCCAGGCACACCAGTGAAAAAGCCAGTGAAGAAACCAAAATTTGCAAAAGTGCTACAAGTCACCCTGGAAGAAATCGGGGATGAATCCAGCGAGGACGAAGGCAACAAGCCAGCGGGAAAAGGCTAGGTCCTGTTGTGAGCGGCGCGGAGCAGCAGGGCCCGATCCCGGAGGCACCAAAAGCGGTGAGCAGCTACCCCCCGTTTTTCGTGACTGTGACTTTTATTAACCTGACCCAAGGAACCCACATTCGCGTGAGAGCCCTTTGTCAGCTATGCTGCCATGATGTTTAGGGACAAGAGTGCATCTGCTTGACCTGTGTACCAACTGCTGCCGCATTCCTTCATCCTTGCTTATCTATGACCTTGCTAGCTGCCTGTGTAATGTCTTGCCATCAATTACCTGTGGGATAGGTTTCGATTCCCAGCTTTGGCTTTAACGGCCTGGGGCCCCATTCTCCCGCATGCGGGAGTCAGGCCAATTGGCCTAGGAGTGTGTGTGTGTGTGGGGGGGGTTGCGTACGAATACCCTATATCCCATTATGCTTGTAGAAAAGTAGCCATTCCTAACAGTGACAATGTTACTGCCTCTATAGCTCTTACAATCTATATATCTAATTCCCAACTTGCCCCCGGAGTGCGGATAGCTAAATTAGCACTCCGGGGGCAGCTGGGGGGCCGGGGGAGGTTTGTGCACATGTGGGCCAGTCCCCACATGTGCACAAAAATAAAAAAAGTTGAAAAAAATTTCGGGGGGATGTTTAAATCCCCCCGAAAGTGCAAGAGCGTCTCCTGCTCTGCGACCTACCGGGCTTCCGTGCGGGGGAAGGGAGACAGGCAGGCAGGCACACAGGCAGCAGGGAGGGAGGGAGGGAGGGAGAAGAAGGACCGCCCTCGCCGCCGCCGCCGCCTCCTCTTTGGAGCCGGCCGGCCTGCCGGCCGGGCAAGC